CCAATTTTATTCACACAATGATGCTCACATCCATGATTATTTAATTTGCATTCATCAATTTCTAAAATTTAATTATATCAATTTTTTTTTAATATTATAATCTCTAAATTTATATTCACTACTTTCTGGCTAATGATAATTATGTTTATGCTTATACAAAAACGATGTATTAAAGAGATCAAATTACTTTTTTAAAGAGGACCTTTAGTGAAACTGATATGAAAACCTTCTTTTTGCACCGAACTATCCGAAATAAATAGTAATAAAGCAGTATTGAAATGTGAAACAAGTGATTTAGCTACTATCTGTAATGAAAATAATTAAAAGTATGCATTTGAATTAATGATCCATTATATAAGAATAAAAATCTGACTATGACAAATTCATGATATTTTTTTGAATTTTCAAAATTTTATTTCTAAATTTGGAATTTAAAGATTATTATAAGTAGGATTAATACAAACCAATATGACTTAGATTTTAATCAAAGTAAAGAGAATTCGATAATTTAAATCTGTGATTCATTGATAAATTCATTAATTTATCACAAAGAAAATTTTGTGATCAGTTAATTTTAATGATGGATGGATCATGGCGATATTCATTTAAGCACTTATACTCAAATAAATTTTACCTGACCACATAATTTAGAAAGTAATGCAGTCGACTCCACCACTGTACCATCGTATATTTCCAATCGATCATATATACAATCTTTATGTGTTTCAAGCTAAATTTAAATTTTCATAATTTTTCTCACAAAAATTATAAAATAATTTGTAGAGATAGAGAAAAAATTTCTTATACAATCTAAATTTAATGGTTAAATTATAAATTTCAAATTACAAATTATTTGAATAATGTAAAACGAAAAGATTACTAATAATTCAAATATAATTGTAATCAAAGAATTTTGAAATCTTTTAATCCTTCTTTGATACTAAAATACAATTTTAACGTAATGGATTGTAAATTGAAATTTTTGCAATTGTTACATTTAAAATTGATAATGAATTTCAAAATTTAACTATTTTTTTCTAATTATCAATAGCTTATCAGAAATAACTAACACTAAAAAAATGAAATGTTAAAGCAACTTGATAGCCTTCTTGAACCGTAATAATCCATTTGCATTCCTGATCAGACATATAGCTTTCCGGATATCGTGGACTTTGTATGGTACCAGTATCACTAATAATATGTCCACCACAAACAGCTAAAAAAAATTACACTGTCTTCAATTAATTATTAAATCTTTTTAGCTAATAAAGTAATGAAAAAAAAAAAAATTTTTTTTTTATTTTTAAAAAACAAACCAATATAATGAGCAAAAATGGAAAATAGAGGATAGGATGTTTGTGTTTGAATAAAAAGTCGATTGCTAGTTGAAAAGATTGTCCGTGATATTACACCACCACATAGTTTATCTAAAATAATTGAAATTTTTGAAATGATAAATGAAATTGAAATTTGTTAAACAAATAGTGTTGATGTTAGGAAAATAAATGATAAAAGTTTGCAACAATTAAATTACACATGGTTTTACATTTAAATTAAATTCAAAATGATTTAATTCACATCTATACAACTATTGCAAAGATTTTTTAAATCAAAATTTTTCATTACAATTACTTATTTGAGTAAATGTAGTTTAAGTAAACAAAAAAAAAAAGAAGAACGAAAAAGGAGAAAGAAATAATTATAGTGTAAATATATAAATTGAATTATTTGAAAAAAATTAACATTAAACAAACCTGAAATTGGTGAACCAATATAATGACCATCACGAATAATTAAATAATTATCTCTTTCTGAAGCGCAATCACGTTTTGGTAATGGTAAATCAAGCGTGGAAACATTGAGAACAATAAATTCACCAAATGCAGCAATGATACGCCATTGACAGACGGTACCGCTACCATCCAAACGTAACTCACCAAATTCTTTCATCAATGTTTCACCACAAACTAACAAGAAGATAATTAATAAATATTAAATGAGTAAAAAAATTGCAATGATTATCTGTAAAAATTTTATCACCAAAATTATTTCAACAAATTTCTAAAATAATATGATTGATCACAGGCCATAAATTGAATAGAATTTTATTTAAAAAAAACTTAAAGGATAAATGAGGCTGAGTGTAATAATTGCTTTTGGTAGAAATAATATACAGTTGTAACAATGTTACTTTAATTTCTTGGTATATTTTTACAGATATTTTAAATCTATTCAATCATTTTTGACTTTTTAAAATTTGATGGAATATTTGGGGCTAAACTTTATGTGAGAAATTACAATTAATGCTTTCTAATTAAATTTTGAATTCAAATAAAATTTTTCAAATGAAATATTTTACATTTCATTATAATTGTGATATAATAATCATAATTATGTACATAAAAGTACATGAAAACATTCGAAATAAAATATTCAAATGTTTATTTAGATATTTACTTTAAAAAAAAAAAACCTGTGCACTTATAAAGTTTTTTAGTTTGCGAAATATCACCCGGAGATAATTGCGTACGTTGGCCAATTTCTGGCCGTTGGCCAAATTTTCTTTTTGGCAAAATTGTGTCCAAATACATTGCTCGAGAAAATGTATCACGTGCATAATGCATAATTGATGCATAATCATATGGCTCTCCGAGTGAATCGATTTCATCAGGTTTTAATTTCTCAAAATTATAATCTTGCGCTAAAATTTAGCAGATTTAATTCTCTTTTCAAAATATCATTTGTATTTTTCTAAAAAAGAGAAAAATTAAAATCATCCATCTTTTCAATAGATTAGCCATAAATGGTTATTAAGTTAATGTAATCATTTTGGCATGTGTGAAATATGAAATTTGACTGAATTATATCTTTCAATAATTGAAAAAAAAACGATTGAATAATGACAATTAAAATTTATAAATTTCTGTCAAATTTTAAATTATTACAAAATTTTGCAAAAATCATTGTCAATACATCAATCAACTGTCATCCTACTTTTTTTCTTTTTCTTTTTTATTTCAAATAATATGCGATTAACCTTGTTGAATGCTTTTGTAAAATATATCAACATGTTGATCTCGATCCAGACGTGTGTGCTCATGCCAAAAACCAATCACATGACCCAATTCATGTACAACAATTCCGAATTTATCACAATTCTTTCCAATGCTTATCGCTTGTGGTCCATTACTTTTCCTACCAACATAAGAGCAACAGCTGTAAATATTACACATCATTTCGAGTAGTAGAAGTATTGATGGATTGCAAAGGTTGAAAAATTGATTATTAACATTTTTATCGTTAAAGAATAAAAATGATCAAATATTTGAAGTTGATAATAAAAATTTGCATAGTATAATTAAACGATAACTTAAAATCAAAAAAATTAAGCTAAAAAAATATTGCATTTGTGGATTTGGTCAGTTTAATGCTTAGGAAATTAATGATCTCTACTTAATTAATTAATAATTATTGATGAATATTTAAAAGAAATAATATTTATGAATTGGCTGATATTTTAATGTATGATTAAAGTGCAGCAATATAATAAAAAAAAAACTTACCCGCATTTATCAACAGTGAAAACGATGTAATTAAAATGTTCCGGTTGACGTGGTATAAACGTAATGCATGTGTTATTCTCCCAATGGCGCATAGCCCTCTGAAATAAACGCTTATGTTCACCTGCGGAATGGAACAACTGTTCCGTAATGTTGAGTTACCTGTAAAATTATCTGATATATCGTATGGTATCACACCATCTGGCCATAATCGTTCTTTGCGTGCTGTTGCTGCCCTAATTTTCCTCCTAAAAATTAACTGATAAAAATAATTTTTGAAAATTAAAAATTTTTTCAATTCATTCAGCTAATGTTGCTATAAATTTTTAAATAATTAAATAATTATAAAAAGATCATTTAAAATTAAACCTAAATTGATATCCATTTCGATTCATCATCATATCTTTGCCAATCGCAGGAAACTCCATCAATGATACTGATGATGATGATGATGATGATGATAATGGTGATGATGATAATGGTGATGATGATAATGGTGATGACGATGATGATGACAATGACAATGGTAATGCTGTCGTTACTGCTACTGATGATGTTAATGATAATGATGATGATGGTAATGATAACCATTGAAAGTAGTAATTTCGATATTGCTGATTACGATAATATTGCAATGATAATTCTGGTTCAACATATCGTTGTATTGTTGGTGTAAGAAGGAAAAGAAATAAAACAACTGGAAATGATGGCATAATAAAGTTTAGTCCAAAAAGGAAATTAGACTTAGTATATTCTAATTGAGACATCAATTCTTTTGCTTTTTCTTTCTTTAATTTCACAATTTCAAAGCAGAGCAGCGTAATAATAAATAATGGATCGATAGATGAATATTCCTTCAAGTAATAATTAAGCTAAATTGAAGGAATAGGGCGAAGAAAAGAAAGTCGATAGCGTTGTTTAAGTTTTCAAATGATATTGGTGAAAATGGTGAATGAGTGAGATGAATTGAAATAAAGTAAGAATGGAAGAAATATGGGAGATATGAATGAACGCTGAAGTTGAAATTGAAGAAGTATCAATCTCAACGAACATTTTTGCTCCTCCTTTGTAAAAGAAGAAGATAATGGACCAATGAAGATATATTAGCTAAAGGAGCAAATTTCACTCTAATACTTCTTCATTCTTTCATCACTCTTAATGCTTACATTCATTTCTTCATTAATTATCTCTTGCAGCTAATATAAAAATTTCCTATGATTACAGATTTCAATCAATTAATATTTGATAAAAATGAATGAAATTTATTTTAACAATTATGTAGAAACAATTAATATTTAATAGATATTAAATAAAACTTACCATAAAGATTATAGAATCAATTAATATTTGTATAGATATGAATAAAATTTACCTTAAGGAA